CAAACTCGTGCTTTTCCCTTCTTCTTTTGATCATTGTTATATCCTTCCTCTGAGCAAATGTGGGACAATCCCTAGCAATATGTCCTGATTTGCCACACCGAAAATAGGCATTCTTCCCATACAAGTATTCACCACGATGAGGCTTACCACTTAGGGCATGGCACTACTGCAGCTACCATGGCCTTACTGGCGCTAGATCCGATATTAACTTTCTTTTCCTTTGTCTTGACCATTCCACTTTCTCTTTCCAATTTGTCCTTTATCCTGCTGGTTGTACAATTGACGATGTTGCTCTGCATTAGCCTTTTGATACCAGATAGCGTGAGCTCGTTCCAACATCTCATGGTACGACGTGAAGCGATGTGACATAAGGATCATACTTAGGTCTGGGTTTAACCCTTGCTCGAACCTTCGAGTTTTCTTAATTTTCGTGTCAACCAGATGTGGAGCATACCTTGCGAGTTGATCGAAGTTTCGCTCGTAATCCGTTAGGGACATATTACCCTGCTTGAGTTGAAGGAATTTGTTCTCCTTGAAATCCCTTAGAGATTGAGGAAAATATTTGTCCATCACTTCCTCCTTGAATTGTTCCCAAGTTATTGCCAATTGCTGTCCCGGAGTCCTAGTTAGGGACATCGAATCCCACCAGTGACTTACATCACTGGTAAATATAAATTCCTCACATTGAACCCTTTGGGCATCAGTGTAATCTATAAGCCGAAAAATTCGTTCGAGTTTACGAAATCATTCCTCAACTACTAGTGGACCAGATGCTCCATCAAAGGTAGGGGGTTTATACCTTCGAAATAACTCAACTACCGAGGCGTGAGTCGGAAGAGTAATAGGAGCTGGTGGTGTAGGTGGAGCGGGATTTTGATTCTGCCTGGCAAGATCTTGAACCGCTTGCAGGAGATCCCTTATCAAGTTATTCTGGTTCGCTCTAGACATTTTCCTAGAGATAAGATATAATATCTTACATTAACTTCGTTTGTCAATACCAAAATACTTAAAAAAATAAGCTAGTCCTCAAATTGATTATAATTTTCCTTTATTAATAGTACTCATTGCAATCAGGACATACAGTAGGTCAACAAATTTTATTTTTTTTTTCAAAAACATAAAGGAAAAGATATCACAAGGAAATGGAAATCTAAATTTCTAATCCCTATGAATCTTGCGAATCTTCTTCGTTGGAGCCTCATCTTCGGAGGAGTCTTCTGTCTCAGGCCCCGACTCTAGGTCCATCTCAACCTGTGGCTCAGGTTCATGCTCAAGATCATTCTTTAAGTCCAACCCAAAGTCATCATCATGTTCCCATTCGGGATCTTCCTCTGGGTCTGATTCAAACTGAGGTTCGGGCTCGAGCTTAGGCTCAGCCTCATTATTGGGCTTAATTACTATCTCCGGTTGGGGTTCTAAACTTTCACTCCATTTGTCTAGAAAGGTCTGACAATATATACCAAATTCAATCGTATTTGGGTGCTCTGGATGGTTACCCTCTAGCATTTCATCTCTAACAATGACTCTCATGTTTCCCCACTGAGGTGGAAGTGAATGTATAAGGTTATTCATAGCCTCGATATGCATGATCTCCAGTCCTGTATCTACAGCTGCCATACATCTCTCGTAGATGTCATGTACGTATTCAACAAGTGGATGAGATGGGTCAGTCACATAGTTCTCATAGGACTGGATGATGGCCCTACGGTTCAATACTGCTATACAAACTGTGGCCTTTCTAGCGGTTTGATAAGTTCTAGCCATGTCTGTCACATAAGTGTCCAATTATGTGTTATCTTCATTAGTGATATCAACTTATACATTATGCTCTTGAGGTTCTAATATGATGGCCAATCATCATTTCTTCACGTATATTTAAACAAAATATAATGTACATAGCATATTTCATTCAAAATATCATAAGCATTTTCATAGATTCAAGCTTAAATGATTAAAAAAAATCAAAATCATGCTCGAAAAAATAATGTGGAACATGATATTTTATTCCATACCTTGGGTTCGTCGAATGAGGTCAACTGATAGATGCAAGATGTCATGGAGTGCCTTAAATGTTTTATTTTTTTCATCTCATAAACAAAATACACTAAGTCTATAGAATTGACTAAACTCGTGCTCTGATACCACGTTGTAACGCCCCGACCCGCATGGACGAAAATATTACTCAAACCATTGTACCTTATCCATAAAGTTAGTTCAATATATTTTTAGTAGAAGGTATAAAGACTAAATTTTAGAACTTAATTAAAGAATTTTCTTTTTTTATTTAAACAATAATCAAATTCTAAAAGAAAATAATTTCAAAAATACTTTTAGAATGGGTTCCATGCATGTATCGACTATTAACGTGAAATTTTGACAAAACTTAAAAAAATAATGTTGTTGTTCCAGTTTTTTTTTGTCTCAAACAGTAATTGTCAAAATAAATTTGTTTTCATAACTATCGACCTTGAAACTTCTTAAAATTTTAATGTAAGGTAGTAAACTCCTTATAATATGACATAGTCAAAAATTAGCTTTCGTCGACATCATATGGGGTATTAAAATATTTTTCAAAACTCAGCAGCGACCTGGTTGAAAGGTAACCGGTGCAGTTCACTTAAAATGACATATAAAATTCCACCGACATCAAAACCACATGATTTTAAATTTATTCAGTAGTTAATCCATGATACTATCAAATCCAATTGGTTTCATCCAAAAATTCCAAGTAACGAGTGAGTTATGAATTTTTGAAAACAATGGTAGAAGCTGAAAAACAGAGATAGCACCCAGCACAGTTTACTTTATGTGACATATAACCTTTTATTGATATTGGATTGACATGATTCCAATTTTATTTAGTATCTAACTTATTAGGCTATTCAATCCAATTAGTTTCGTATAAAAATACCAAGTAATGAAAGAGTTATGATTTTTTCAAAGATGAGGCAGAAATTGAAATTTTTGAAGAGACATCAAAACTTTAAGTTGCTAACTTTTTTTTTTTTTTTTTTTTTTTTTTTTTTTTGTATATGGTGATTTGTAAATGTATGCCTATGACGTATATCTACTTTCAAACATAGTTTATTCATAACGAGTGTTCGTAAAATAGATCCACACAATATTCATAGGAATCGAATTTAAAAAAGTATAAACATTTCAAAATCAACTAAAGATGTAAATCACCGGTTTCTCCATGACATGTTGCATCATCCTTTACCGTCATCTACGTCCCAAGGAAAATCCATTTAACCTGTAGGAAAGGAATTAACCCATGAATTTGAAACTCAATAGATATTATCGGTGCGATTCGTTATCAAATTAGAAATTCCGAATTATAGATTCATACCGTTGCACGTAGATAGATTTTCGGCAAAATCCAATTACTATAGCATTATCATAACACGTATAGCCGGAGAATGATCGTTCAAACTGTTGTAGTGTCGAAGCACCGTACCCGAAGGTATCATTTCATTTAAACATTTATCGAAAAATCAAATTTGAAAACGAATGAACACTTGCACCTCTACCTACTTTGAATTTTCTTGGATAAAAGAACAAGATGTATAGAAAGCCTTCCTTCTTCTCACCCTTGTTATACCTTAATTTTAACTTGATATGAAATATATTTTTTGAAAGAAAATGAGATGAAATTCGGATTTGAAGAGGAGTGTAGTGAAAAAGTGACCTTCCACTTCTATAACATTTCTTTTTAATGAAAAATTAAGTGGGGGAATTGTATTATCATTAAATTTAGTCTTTAACTAAGAATTTGAATAGTCTCTAAACCATAAAAATAATTCATATGAAAGTTTTATAAAAAATATCTACATGGTGATTCGAACTTAGGTTACCTATATGAAATACCATGTAGATAACCATTGTGGTAACCCAGTTATTTATTAAATCTTTGTAATCAATTTTACTTAAATTTAATCTCTTAAATTGTTGGGCTTTTAATTAACTTATGACTTGGGCTTTCGTAATCTTACATGAGTTGAGCTTCCATAGGTTGTTTCACAAATGGGTTAGGCTCGTGGTGCTAAATCATCACAAAATATTAGCATAATTCCATTTTATTTTTCTCGACTACTACATCATATATTCAAGAGATTTGTTCACCTCCTATTGGATCAGGTCACATTCACATATAACATGGCATATGTCAAAGTGCGTAGGTCACAGATCATGGATTTAGGAGATTTGACAATAAACCCAAGAGATTTGTTCACTGGTTATCAGATCGAGTCACAGGTCACATGTAAAGTGCATAGGTCACATGCTATGGACTTAAAAGATTTGGTCACAGGCCATTAGCTCAGTTCACATTTCACCTATCCAAAAGATTTGGTTATAAGCTATTGGATCATGTCACATGTTATATGTCAAAGTGTATAATTCACATATGACAAATTCAAGAGATCTGATCACATGTTATTGATTTCTCTGACCTCAGTTGATGGGACTGGGTTCAAATTCAATTAACCAAATTTCAACCATGAGAATTTAAGCTATTTCACTCCAGTAAATACTCTGTAAATTACACAAGGAGCTGTTTTTCAAATTTTATGTTTTAAAAAGCATTTTAAATTATACCAACACTAGTCAGTTTCAATCACCGACGAAATCAGTTGTCGCTAAGCATCGATTAGTTTACTGTCGAAAGAAGTCACCGATGGGATGAAAGTTGGGAGATGTCAATAGCAAATAGATGCCGACAAGTAAAATGGGAATGGTTGGAGTGGGTAGATTAATTTAATTTGATGATATTATTATTTAAAACTAAAACAAAATAAAAATCTGAATTTTGTATTTTGAAACTTAATCTCTGAAAATTGATTTGGTGCATACTTAACAATTGAGATATGATTTCTTCCCATTTATCAAACTAGTTAATTTTTTAAGGATATTGGGCCTAATTAGCCCAATTAAAAAACAATGTGCCTTTAAGAAATGGGCCAAGTTAAGTTCCCCACCAAACTGGTAATTTCCCTCCACCCCTCCAATTTTACCAAGTCAACTCGCTAATATGTTGGAAGCCCTAGTTTTACTGCATCCCTCCAACAACTACCCACCTGTTGCATCGAATTTCTGCAAGTTGAAGATTTCAGTACATGATATAAATTTGAGTCATAACATTAATTTTCTGTTGCCGTTGAGCCCTTTTGTAGCGAAAGGAAATGGTTTTATAGGATCGATAGTTAGCGTGCAAGTGAATATGGGCCTGGAGTGGAAATGAAACGTTCTTTGTCCGTGAGCGTCAATTTGATTGGAGGTGAGTCGTTTAAGAAAAAAAATTGTAAAAATATTATTTGGTTGTTTCAAGAAATTTGATGAAGAAAACACAATTTTGATGGTAATTAGTTTTCTATAGCATCTGGGGATTGTAAAATGGGGGATTGTATCTGGAAATAAATATTTGAACTTGAGTTACTAAAGTAAGGAAACGGTAACCAATGGAGGAGAGTGGGGAACACTGGTGTTGGATAATTCAGGTTTCATTGAGAAGGAAATGTGATCAAGGAATAATGATGAGAAACTGATGATGAGTTGATAGAAGAAGCATCCCGCGGCTTATTTGAGGAAGAATGGATTGCCGGAGGATTTCGAGAAAGAAACTGAGACTCGTGTAGTAAATGTATCATCTCTGGGATTTCCACTCAGATGAGTTGGTCGAGTTGAAAATAAAGCCCGGTTCACGAGCTAATTGGGTGGACAAGGGCTCAATGATTATTTTGTTGTTTGAAACCACATACTTGCAAAGTGTCGAGACAGTGTGCATGATGGATTTCCAAAGGGTAGAGAAAGAAAACCGTGGGTAACGAATGTGGACAATTGATGACGAGGGATAATAAATGTTATGGAAGTATCAGCAATGATTGTTGGTGCAGGAAATGCCAAGTTGAACGCAGTGAGATGGCTGACGTTTTCACTTTTCTGGTCCCTAAGTATGATATTTGAAGGTAACTGATATGTGGGAGGAGTTTATACTCGGAAAGATGTGTCGATAAGGTAACTACACAGCTACTGATCTTGGTGGCAGTGTTATAACTGGTATTAATGCTCATCCTTCAGGAGGCTGACAAACAGAAATTATGGTGAAGCTTTGCATTTTTTCGAGACAACTTATAATTCCTCTTGGCATGGTGAACAATTAATGGCTTCTGTACAAGCTGTATTGAACACATGTTAACGGACTTGATTCTATGGTTGAGTTCTCTAAAGTCATCATTTCTAAGAAATAATGGGTCAATTTGCTAGTGATACTACTTTACGTTCTGTTTTAGAGATAGTTCCGCAATTATATGTTGCGGCTAGTTGTAGTGAGGAAAGAACTTTTTTGATTTGTATTTTGCTAACTCGGAGCACACCAAGTACTTTTGTGTCTAAGGAACTAAGTCCCTCTTCTGTCTGTAATCAATTTATTATCAGTGTATGAGTAGTAGTGAGGGCCAACCCCTCACCTAGGCATGGATGATTTTATCAAGAAACTTGGGATATGCCAAATCTAGAAGCGTTTCAACCCTGTCTGCTGTTGATGGGGTCATGGGGATCAGTAAGATCCTTATAGATTGGGAATGAAATTGTTGTTCTCTCACAGGTGGGACCTGGAGATTAATTAGAGTAATTCTTAAAGCACTTGATTTGTCTGTACGACTACCATTTAGACCATAAGCTATTGAAGTGAAGGAATCCAGGTTGTTTCAGGAAACCAAGATTTTCAAGCAGATATTATCCTGTGCTGCACTCCCATTTTATTCCTTAAACTATGAGAAATTAGATTTGAAAGATTTATCTAAAAGAATGCAGCATTAGAAAGACTGCTGTTTTGGTTGCTAAGTGAAAGTCCCCGTGAAGTTCCCTCATAATTTTCAAGGGGAAAGGCTTGTATACATTTGGACTTTTCGACTGCACCTTGTTTCGAGCATTCTAGAAGGTACCATACATCTGTAAAAGTAGGCTTTTTTATTAAGTTGATTACTACTTATTTCATATTTTTCTTTCCTTTCCTTTTTGCACCTTGTTATTTATGTTCTTCCTCATGTGAACTTCTAGTGAGCCTTCTTAGTTGCTTTCAACATGGCAATTTTTGCAGGTGTACATAGTTGGATGGGCATCAAGTGTCTAATTCTTTACAAGCCATGTGTACTAGATGGGGAAACGATCCTCTTTCTTGTGGTTCATATTCACATATCAGAGTGCTATTATTTGGTAACAGGTAAGATATACTTTCGAACTAGTGTTTTGGTCTCATCCATATACTTTAATCTAGACAAAATGATCACGTTTAAAAATTACTGGCATATTTGACTTTTTTTTTTTTTTACTCAGCCAAATTTTTTGAGACAATACTTCATGTTGATTTGTTTGAGTCGTCAATTCCAATGCTTTATAATATTACATGGGATGGTTTGATGTTTTGATCATAAAACTGTACTCGCTGTGGAATTAATAACACTAAACTGATTTACGAAGTCCACAGAAGAAAATATTGCTATTGTTTTCGAAATGTGATACTATGTCCCTATTTGGTCTCGATAAAAATTAGATTTTTTGTAGATTTGATAAAAATTGAAGAAATGTGTGGTTGAAAAGTTGTGGATTCCATTAAATGTGTCATTAATACTAATTGTTGACTTTGACTTAGATTTTAATATACATTTTTAGTTGAATCAAACATGGGTTATATAATGAAGCTTATCATATGTAAATAAAGTTTATATACAATTGATCTAAGAGGGATCCATTTACTCCAAAGATAAAACAATGCCATCCATTTCGATAAGAAAGTATCCCTGCTTTTGAATTATCAGCTTCCAATATGGAAGAAAACTGAATTTTTCCACTTCAAGAATTAAAAAAAATAAAAAAAATAAAAAAAATAAATCACAATTACCTGTTTAAAAAAAAAAAAGAAAAAAGAAAAATCACAGTTACTACATGTAAACTATCCTAGATATGCCAAATAATTTACTTTTTTTTCACTGTTTTACCGAAGATTAAGTGCATGAGCAGAATTCAAATTCATTATCAATTTTGAAGAGACATCTTTAACAATTGACAGAAGAAAGGGATCATAATTGAAGATAGCTTTAAAGTTGAAACGAGATTCAGAAGAAATATTTGAATATCTTGAATTGAAGTTACTCTTAAAGGTAAGAGTTATTTCTAGTAACTTATTATCTTTAATTTTTAACTTTTCAATTCTCATAATTTAAACATTTAAAAGCAAGAAAAAATTGAGGCATGTTATTGAGATTAAATAGAAAAAGAAAATTAGTTCACAGGTGAAAATTTAGGTCAAATCCAAATAATATGAAAAGAAAAATAGAAAAAGATCTCATTTTCCCCAATGGTCATCAGTTCGAATCCCCTCAAGGCCACTGAGGTGAGTATCCGACTATAAAGTTCAGAGCCCCATGGGATTAGTCGAGATGCGCGTAAACTTGCCTGGACACCCATGGTTAAAAAAAAAAAATAAAAAAAAAAAAATAAAAAAATGGAGATCTCATTTATTAGATTGAAATAAAATGACATAATGCATTGCTCAATTATTTGTGGTCTCGTAAGACACTAAAAGCCGCAGTAATTAGAAACCAAAGTCACATGTTTTGAATGTATTCAACACATTGTTGACAAGTGCAATCTTCAAACCGACACATGTTACAACCTAAACAAACGCATTTAACGCAGCCCTTGCATTTAGCAGTTCTTGGACAACCTCTACGCACCAATCGACATTCTCGTTCCTCTTCATCATTGCAGGTCAATCTGAAAGACAAAAGAAATAATGAGATAGATTATTGTTTCTTGTTTATTTTTTGTAGATTCTTCTATGTTATACGTAGCTTAATGATATTTAGAGTGAATCTTTGATTATATCTATATTTGAAAATGGGATATTTTTAATTTTACTGAAATGCGTACGTGTTATATAATGTATGGTTAATGTTGTATTGCATTACTATGTGCAAATCTGTTCTTGTGTTAGATTGTTATGCTGGTATTATTCTACACGAAACTATTCAAACAAATATGTTTGTATTCTTGGAAATTAGATTTATACGTACTGGAGGTTTGGCATGTCTGAGCATTTCCAGTTTTCATTGGTGAGAGCTTCATGGTAAATCATGCAATCCTCCTTGTTTCGAAGATAAAATCGACGCTCTTTGTGACAGCTTGAACAACGTAAAAACTCATCACGATGACTTATTTGACGTCGAGGTCTTTGATAAGTCTCGGTGTGATATTTCAGCAAAGGGGTTTTCTTCAAGGAAACTCTTTTCCCGTCACTATTAGTGACCCAAATCTGATTCTTCCACTTGTTATGAGAGTTGGTTTTCCCAGCATGTTTTGCAAATTCAATTGGGTGCAAGTTCACTGCAAAAATATTTTCATATTCAAAAACTTAATCTGTAATTTAATGAGAAAACACATCCAAGTCAAAAGAAACTAGTCCGCTACTGCAAAAAAATATTTAAAATTTCAAACACAATTCCTGATTTTCTTGATGTTTAGTATAAATCACTACGTCTTTCTAATTCTAAGTTTCGGTTAAAGAAGTTATTATACGATAAAAACTTTATCATTTACATTTTTTGTGAAATAACTTAAGAATCGACGGTGATTATATAAAAAGGAGTTTAGTTGTGTACAAATGAAATTAAAGGGGTTGAAAAAAAATTTGTAGATGTAAAATATGATCTCCAACTTTCTGGTATTAAAACAATTTGAATAATTAATGTAAGCCTATGAAAACAAAATAAGCATATTGATTTGAAGCTAGAGAGAGTACCTTTGGAACAATTTTGGGCGCAATTGCAGTCGATCTCGAGTTTTCCGTTGACATAAACTCTAAGATTCCCTGGCGTGTCACCATACCTTGGAATGGTGCAACCACATTGAATCTCAATGTACTCCGTTCTCTTAAACACTCCGTGAAGACCAGCTACCTCCTTGTCAGTGAACATGCCTACAAATTTTGCCAACATTCAAATCACTTCAATGTGATGTAAAAATAGTTTTTTTGTCTCCATAAAATATTTACTAAGAAAAATGGTTAAATTAGAAAATATTAAATTTCAATTAACACCATAAAATTTTGCATATAAGGTTTTTTAAGATGTTGAAACAAAAAATATATTGGAATGATCATATGCAATCACAAAAGAAAAAAAAAAAAGAAAAAAAGAGAGAAAAAAGAAAGGAAAAAAAAGAGATGTAAAGAAAGCTTACTTGAATTCTTTACAATGACTATGCTTTGTATTTGTGAAATAATTTGATGAGAGCCTTCAATTTTCAGACCTTATTTATAGAGAGAGTGTTGAGAAGTCAACGTTCATCTTATTGAGTGTGTGTCATCACTTATCCACAACATTAATTCAAACGACATACATTAATTTATTTTTCCCTTTTGAGATTACAACGGCTTAAAACAATAAATGAAGAAATATGACTCAATTATAGGTCAAACAATGCACATTAATTTATATACATTTCCAACGTTGCAACAGCATAAAACAATTAATGAATAACACGGCTCAACATAAAATGAAATAATGTACATTACTTCCTTTATTTTTCAACATTCCAATGGTATAAAACAATCAATGAAATAATAAGATCTATCTCTAATTCAAATAAGATCTATCTCTAATTCATTATTATTATTATTATTATTATTATTTTTTGATAATTATGGGTGTCCGGGCCAGTTTACACGCATTTAGACTAATTCCATGGGATCCTAAAGTTTACAGTCGGGTATTCACCTTAATGATCCCGAGGGGATTCCAATTGGTGACCATTGGGGAGCAAACCCAATGCCTGACCACTGAGCTACCCCTTAGGGTTTTTTAATTTTCAATATTCCAACAGCATAAAACTATAAATGAAATAATATGATTCAACACCAATTCAAACAATGTTCATTAGTGTATATTTCCTTTTTGAAATTTCAATGGCGTAAAATAATTAATGAAATAATATGACTTGGATTCTCATAATCATTAAAGACAATTCTAAAATAAGTGATAAATACATATTTTGTAAGCATGTTGACAATAATCATGATGCTAGATTCTTATTATCTAGGAGTAATTTCTTATTTAATTTATCATCGTTTAGACATTAATCCTGATGCTAGATTCGTATTATCTAGGAGTAATTTCTTATTTAATTTATGATTGTTTAGAGAAATTCAACATAACATATTCTAAGTAGTCTTGTTTTCTTTTAAGAATTATGTAGAATTTGCTCACCCTACACGTAGCTTCCAACAAAGATTGTTTGTGTGTCTAGTTTTGTGTTAGTAAGCACAGAGCTTGACAGAATTAGCTGAAGTAGTGGGCCAAAGGTTATTGCTGGTCAAAGTTGAAGCGTTTGAGTGGACTTATGTAACTTGTCTCTTTTTTTGACAATGGACTAGTAATTAGGCCTTTACGAGATTTGGAAGATGGGAAGTAGCCAAAACACTACTGCTAACATGAATGAGGATGTGGTTAAGACCTGCTAGAAACACGTAGACCCAATCTTCAACAATAGGCTTCCTTTGTTTCTCACAGCATGTGTCATGTCGTTAGGCCTCTGACAATTTAGTTCCATTAATATGGAGTTCAGTTGTAGTATTCAGCAAGAGGCCAACCACCCTAACTCGATCGGAATGATTCCTTTATACTTCCATTAAAAGAGTCACAAAAATCTAGATATCTCCTTTATATCTTCTCCAAAACTTCCTAAGTCATTCCACAGTATACAAAATGCAACATCAAATGGAATTCATGAGCGAAGAGATGACTAAAGCATTTTCAACCTCCCATTCTTTATACTATGGATCATCATTAGCAGATGCAGCATTTCATCACATGATATAACTCTTTTTCTTCCGACCCACAATATGGATCTCCAAAATCGTGGACAAAATCCAATAATTAGCACCATCTAATTTACTGAAATTGGAGAGGAAGTGTCATGAACAGTCACAAGAGAGACAACCTTGATGTTAGAAGACTTCGTACTAGTTATGTCAATCATCTTGGCTAGGCATGGGCACAGTTCGGTTTGGGTCGGTTTCGACTCCAACCTGAAACCAAAACCAAATTAGTCAATTTAGGTGAATTTCAACACAAATCAACCCACTCTAGTTCTTAAATCGAATCGAACCAAATCGGTTAGGTTCGGTTAGTCGGTTTGGACTTTTAGTCCAAATTGATTTTTTTTTAAAAAAATTGTCCTAGTTTTGGGCCCACTTAGTTCCATTAATATGGAATTCAGTTGTAGGATTCAGTAAGAGGCCAACCACCTTAACTCGATCGGAATGATTCCTTTATACTTCCATTAAAGAGTCATAAACATCGAGATATCTCCTTTTTATCTTATCCAAAAGTTCCTAAGCCATTCCACATTATACAAAATGCAACATCAAATGGAATTTATGAGCGAAGAGATGACTAAAGCATCTTCAACCTCCCATTCTTCATACTGCGGTTCATCATTAGCAGATGCATCTTTTCATCACATGATGTAACCCTTTTTCTTCCAACCCACAATATGCATCTCGTACTAGTTGTATCAGTCATCTTGGCTAGGTATGAGCACGGTTTGGTTTGAGTCGGTTTCGACTACAACCTGAAACCAAAACCAAATTAGTCAATTTAGGTGAATTTCAACACAAACTAACTCGCTCTAGTTCTTAAATCGAACCGAACCAAATTAGTTGGATTCGGTTGGTCGGTTTGGACTTTTAGTCCAAATTGATTTTTTCTTTAAAAAATTGTCCTAGTTTTGGGCTGACTTAGTTTACAAAGACTAAAATAACTAAATAACTTCATATTACAAGAATTATTGAATAACAAATAAAATCGGGTTAATAGAGACGGATGAACAGAAAATGTAAGAATTTTGTTGCTCTTTTATATATTATGTAGCCTGACAACTTGAAATAGGGAAAAAATGCTAAGTATAACATAATAAGCTTCTGATAAGAAATTTTCAGTACTATTACTTATCGGCAACATCGTAAATGGAAGGGAATCGAGATAGAGTTATGAGATTAGGGTTTATCTTTTGATTTTTTTATTTTTTTTAAAATGGTATGTAAGTGTATTGGGTTGGTTGGTTAACCAGTGGTTTGAGATTTCAAACAATGACTGAACCGACCCACCATGGTTTTGTTTAAAAGAAAATCAAATCAAACCAATAACTTGTGTCAAACTGATCCGAACCAGTTCGAGTTGGTTCGGTTTGATTGGTTTTGTCGGATTTTTGATTTTTTTTTCCCAGCCCTAATCTTGGCAACTAAGGTTTACTTTTTAGTAATTACAAAAATAGGATACTCACAACCACCAAGCTAGGATTTTTGCATCCACAGAGAGGAAATGTGACCAAGCAGTAAGAGGAGATCTGACCAAGAAAGGGTCACAAACAAGTTGAAGAGGTTCAAGGCCAACCACACGAGTCGCCCATGCAAAGGGCTCGCCTAAGGGGTTTGACTGCTCGAAATAGTTGAAGAGGTTCAGGTTAATTACATGAAGGTTAGCCTCGATGCAATTTGAGTAAGCCTCACGGTAAAAAATAATCTTCTCATTTTTTAAGAATGTTGTTAAAATAATCTTCAGCTTTTAAAAGTTTTAATTGCATACACATTAGTTTCCTCCCATGCACTTAAAGAAGCATATGGAGGCATTAATGAAAAGTAAAAGCTGAAGACATAAGAAGAAAGAAAGAGAAGAAAAAAGAAGCAAAGGTCAGAAAATTTGATATCGGAGCTGCTGGTGGTGCTATAGGTACCACCAGCCAATGGAGTTGTTGAAGGAGCAGCTGTTATTTGCTTTTACTATATCATGGGATTTGGTGGTTGATGAGGCTTGGGCATTGAGTTGTCTGCCACCCGAAAAATGCAATTAAAGTAGCACCTCAAGGCAGAATCTTGCATGTCAAATCTAGGTGCGCCTTGAGTCACAATTCAGTACTGCCTTTTTAAACCATACCTTAACCTAGTGATAGAATTCCCTTCCTATCTAGAACTGACATTCTCGGTAGCCCATATTCCTAGTTCTTAGATCCAGTTTTCGGCTGGAAGTGGTGTCTGCTTTGAAATCTTTGTTAAGCATATTTGGTAGAACTTGTCACTGTGAACTATGTTGCTTTTTAATTTATGTTTCTTCTAAATCACCAGCTTCTCTCAAGTACTCGTGCAGTCATTGTTTACTGCGTTGCTTTCTTGAATTGATCATGCTAGTAAACTGACTGTGCATGTGTGTGTTCATACAGTTTCAGAACCCAAATTGGTAGAAGCAGCACTTGCTCATCTCTCTGCTCCAGGTCAGGGAATTTTTCGTAGCTAGACTCCTTGAGAAATGACACGAAGATTTTCGAGGGTTCGGTCCTTTGTTTGCAAATGGTTGGGGAATCCATAAAGGTGGCCATTTATTATTATTATCATCATCGTCGTCGTCGTCATCTTATTCAATAACTATTTTTAGCGTCATTATATATATATTTTTATTGTTACTGGGGAAGCTAGCTTATTGCTGAAATCATGGTAGCTAGAGGGATATAAGGTGCAACTACTTTTCTATGTCCATTAAACTTTGCATCTACGCGTGGTTAATCTGTTGAACATAATTGTACTTTTTCATGATTGCTGATTCTTAAAGTTGCCATCATAGTTTTCTAATTCCTGTACTATCACGCCTTGAATCTTCAACCATTAGAATTCAGTGCACAAACTGTATTTCCCAAACTCCTTTCCTTTGTTACCCTAACTTATCCCATAGTAGTTAGTACCTTGAAAGATGTGTATCTTCTACATCTTTAACTCTTGCTCTTCATCATTTGGCATGTTAATGTCACGTCACTTTGATATTTAGGGGAGACACGCAGATACCACAGATCAAACAGCCTAAATCTTACAACTATATTAAACTGGTAATGAACAGAACCACACAACGGGAAAGATGTGGGGACTCATGGATCCAGTTGGATTTTCTGTGTCACAAGTTACTTAAAGCCAATGCTAAGAATAAAATCATATGTTCTGTATGAAATCGAAACATGTTTGACATGTGCAATCTTCAAACTAACACATGTTACAACCTGAGAAAACACATAATGCTGCCCACGCATTTTGCAGATCTTGGTTGGTCTACTCACCATTTGGTATTCTAGTTCCTCATCAATGTTGCAGGTCAATCTGAAATGGGAAAAAAACATGAGAAGGAAAAGTTATAGTTTCATGTGTATTTTTCATGATTACTTCTGTTATAAATTGAGCTTCTTGATATGGAGAGGGAATCTGACCGCTTTCAACCATCTCCTCGGTGAAGTGTATGTCAATTTCAATATTCTCAGTTTTGTCATGCTGAACAGAATTGTGAGCAATGTTGATGGTAGCTTAATTATGAGACTTGAGCTCTGTTGTTTCCATCTCAGCAACTTATAATTCTTTGAGAGCAATGTCTTTAACAACATCCACTCACATATTCCTCGTGCATTGTGTTAAACTCCACTCCTAGAGTGAATTTCATAATCACAGGTTGCATATATTTCCTCCCATTTATTCCTTTTTGTTGAGGTGTATCTACTCTAGAGGTATGGTGTACAATCCCATGATTAGTTTGATACAATCATACAAACCTATAATTGAGAAATAATACTCTTCCGTTATCTGTCTGAAAAACTTGAAGCTTTGCTTATAGACATTTTGAAAAGCTTTTGCTGCTACAAATTTTGGGCAAGCTTTCTGATTGCTGAAGTCACGGCAGCTAGGTGATAAAAGAGCAATTAATCTGTTGTTTTCGGTGTTCCATGTCTCAATTTTGTCCATGTTTATTCATAAAACTTAGCATCTCCACATGTTTATTCTGTTAGTATATAATTGCAGTTATGAAAGATTGCTGGTTCAATGAAAGTGTGTTTTCTTGAAGTTGCCCATAATATCATGTTTTTAGTAGTTCTTGTGATGTCGTACACTGAATCCTCAACTACTACAATACAGTGCATGAATTATATTTTTCGAATGTCTTCCCTTTCTCTTAGGATTCTACCTAACCCTGTAGTATCAATAAAGTACCTTGAAAAGGTCCGTTCTTGTACGTTTTGATGCTCGATCTTTATCATGTGGCATCGTAAAGAGTGGAACACTTTGGCGAGACACACAACTAACATAGCTTAAAACAATATCAATCTTATTACTAAATTAGTGGGTTACTACACGATTAACAAAATGCATACACTGAGAAAGTTGTGGAACTTAAGAAATTGTTTGAGTTGGATTTGGTCTGGTCAAGATGTTTATTGGGAAAAAATAATGAATGACACAAAAATTAGAAATACTGAGACAAACAAACACTAAGGTACTGGCAAATTTATCTTTTCTTGAATATTTTATAACAACACACTTGCACTAAGCAAGTTTTAGTACGTCGGAAGTGGCTCGAGTTGGATTTGGTCCAGTCAAGATGTTTATTGGAAAAAATAATGAACGATACAAAAGTTAGGATACTGAGACAGACAAACATCGAGATGCAGTTATATTTATTTTTTCTTGGATATTTTATAACAAAACACTTGCATTGAGAAAGTTGTGGTACTTAAGAAATGGCTCGAGTTGGATTTGGTTCAGTCAAGATGTTTATTGGGGAAAAATAATGAACAACACAAAAGCTAGAGATACTGAGACAAACATCGAGGCATACGAAAAAAATTATCCTTTCTTGGATATTTTAAAAGCCATCAAATGGAGTCCTGTATCTCCAAGCAAACACACTAAAGAATTTCTACTTTTTCAACTATAATAAGACTGTCATGCAATCATTTGTACAATTTCCATCAATTTCTCTGCCTTAAACCCTCTCCACAATGATTTAAACCCAATACATAGAATATATAAGTTCAAATTTCCACAGCCAGTAAATTATTATCTTCTTTTTAGAACAAATATTGAGTCTTTGAATAAAGGCAGGTTACAGATAGGAGCTTTGAGGGAGAGTGTGTCATTCTTGGGAGTCAAGGAGGGGTAAAAATGGGACTCTATAGAGGACGGGAAGGGTGGCTACGGTGAGATTCGAAAAATGCTTTAACGGTATTGGTGTAGGAGGAGGTGGCGGCAGCAGTTGTGGGAAGGTTAAAAGTGAAATTGCGCGAGTTTTGGGGAATCATGCTTTGGCAATTCTCTTGACATATCTCTTTATGATTGGGCAAGTGGGTTGGCTTCTCGATGCTATTGTGGCCCTCTGGGTATTGCTCTCTCTTTTTCTTATCTCAGATATGTATTCTTTTCTTGTATCAGATGTGTGGCTCAGTGTCATTTTTCCTTCCACGTATCCAAGTGCAAAGTATACTGGCTTTATATTCTATCATGGATATGGTTTCACCTTACAATCAAAACTATAATTTTTGTTATCATTTCGTTGTATACATGGAATGTTATATTCTTGACCGGATTGGATACCAACATTCTCTGCCCTTCTATCCCTTGGGTGGATAGAGATGCAATGTAGAGCTTTTGAATTTTTCGCGATGTTAAAGGAGCTGAAAGTAGAGGCCGTCGTGAATTGTGATTCTGCCTCAGATTTTGAGAAGTTGTGTTTGATTTTGTAAAACTTTTTTTAAGAGCTATTTTTGAAAAATAAGAATGGAAAAAAAAACACAAAAGCATTTGGCATGCTAATCACCGTTGCAAATCATTCTATCTTGATTTTCTTGGTGCAAATGCAAAATGGTATGCCAATCATTCATCAGCACGAAGTATTTTAATAGCTGCAATTAAGCTAATTATAGTCGTGACGTATCTCCATGATATGACGTTTTATCCTTTGTGTTTTTCAATGGATTCTAGCCTTTCGGTTAATTTTACAACGTTGTACACCAAGTAGGTCATCCGTGTATCACTGCTGAGTGATAGCAGCTATCATACTGTCTATATCAATCTTGTTCAAGGCAGTGTAAGGATATTTAACTTCAGTATTTATACTCATTTGAAACAGGATTTGATGCTCATACTGTAAACAAATTTAGTGATTTTATCACTTTTAAATCACTATCTATGAGGATTATATTAAGCGCCTGTTTGATATTGTTTAAAAAATGTATTTGTTGTTGGGGGGGGGGGGGGGGTATTGCATCTTCCCCTCCGTATAAAAATTTCATCCTTGAAATTTGCTTTACCAAAAAGTTCGGGATATTTAACCTGCATTTCATCTTTCGTTTTCCAAGTGGCTTCGTCTGTTGTCTGATTCCGCCACAATACTTAAACTAGTGGAATTTTCTTGTTTCTAAGTTGCTTTTCTTCTTGTTGAAGAATCTCTACTTGTTTTTCTTCATAAGTCAAATCTGGTTTTATCTCTATCAGTTCATTCTTCAGCATTTGAGACGGATTTCCAATGTACTTTCTCAACATGGATACATGAAATACATTGTGCACCTTGAAGAGGGAAGATCAAACTTGTAAGCAACATTTCCAATTCTCTCAGTAATAAAAAATGGACAATGAATCTTGGGCTCAATTATTCTTCCTTTCTAAACCGTATAACACCCTTCAACAGTGTTACCTTAATATTTGGTCTTCGATTGTGAATTAGAACTCTGCTTCTTTGGTCTGCATAATTTTTTGGTCAATTTTGAGTAGTTTGCATCCTTAGTGGCACAACTTCAACTAATTCACAAATCGTATTTTGACCTAAAAATTTCATTTCTCCAATCTCATCCCAATAAGTTGGAGATCTACATTTTTCTACCACATTCCAATAACAGCCTGATAACTATTTTTGTATGCAAATTCCAACACGGGCCCTGGAAATCCAATACACAGCTCAACATATCTTCTGTTATTTGTATTGTTTTTTCTGATTGTTTGTGTTGTGCTAAAAGATAAATGTGCTCCCAAAGCCTTAAGCTTTTCCGAAAGAGAGATAAGAACTTAGAATCTCTATAAAAAATAATAGATAGTGGTACACCATGAAGTCTAACTATTTCTTGTAAAGTTGTGCATATCGGTCCATGGAATAAGTGGAGCAAACTGGGATGAAGTGAGTTGATTTAGTCAACCTATCAATAACCCAAATACTATCGTATCCTAGTTGTTTTCGATAATTTCACTACAAAATCCATTGTGATTCTTTCTCACTTCCATTCTGGGATAGGTAATGGTTACAAGGTTCCTATTAGCCTTTGATAGAATGCCTTTATCGGTTGACATGTTAAAAATTTTAGTAGCTCCCAAATGAATAGAATAAGGGGTTGTGTGTGATTCAGATTGAATATCTCTTTGGATATTTTCTTTATCAGGCACATACAATTGTCCTGTAAATTGTAACATAGCATTATTCGATATATAAAAGTCTGAAACTTTTCCAGCATGTATATCAATGACCTTCGAACAATAATCATCTTCTTGTTGCCCTTGTTGGATTTTATTCCATAAAGTTGACTACAGTATCCATGCTGGAAGTTTTTCCTTCATGGATCCTTGCGATACAATTCAGTAATATCCATTTCCTATAAGTCTACCAAATCTAATTTTTGAGTCTCAATTATAGTTGCAACCCAAGATATCGATTTTCTACTCAATGCATCAGCTACTAAGTTAGCCTTAAAAGGGTGACAATTGATAACACAATCATAATCTTTTACCAACTCTAGCCACCTACTTTGTCTCATATTCAACTCCTTTTATGTGAATAAATATTTCAAAATTTTATGATTGGTATAAATCTAGCACCGTACCCACATAAATAATGCCTCATATTTTAAGTGCAAATGTAATTGAGACAAGCTCCAAGTCATGTGTAGGATAATTCATTTTATATTCGTTAAGTTGCCTAAATGCACATGCAATAACTTTACTATTTTGTATCAACAACATCCTAGACCATTTTTAGAAGCAACACTATAAAGCATAAAGTGAAGAGCACCATATGGAATCGAAAGGATAGGACTATACTTGGATCAGCTAATATACCCTCACTTTATATTACATGCTCCGAAACCCACACAAAATTGAATCAAAATCCCTAAAAAGCTAAAATTCTAGTTTGAAGTTGGACCCAATAATTTATAGAATCAAGGAACTAAAGCTATATAGAACTTGACCCCTTAATCAAAAAGCTACTAAAATAAAAGATTTTTGCCAACATTAAACAACTGAAAAAATGCGTCCAGAGTTTTGCACTATGCAACAGTGTATTATTATTATTATTATTTTTTGATAATTATGGGTGTCCGGGCCAGCTTACACGCATTTAGACTAATTCCATGGGATCCTAAAGTTTACAGTCGGGTATTCACCTTAATGATCCCGAGGGGATTCCAATTGGTGACCATTGGGGAGCAAACCCAATGCCTGACCACTGAGCTACCCCTTAGGGTTTTTTAATTTTCAATATTCCAACAGCATAAAACTATAAATGAAATAATATGATTCAACACCAATTCAAACAATGTTCATTAGTGTATATTTCCTTTTTGAAATTTCAATGGCGTAAAATAATTAATGAAATAATATGACTTGGATTCTCATAATCATTAAAGACAATTCTAAAATAAGTGATAAATACATATTTTGTAAGCATGTTGACAATAATCATGATGCTAGATTCTTATTATCTAGGAGTAATTTCTTATTTAATTTATCATCGTTTAGACATTAATCCTGATGCTAGATTCGTATTATCTAGGAGTAATTTCTTATTTAATTTATCATCGTTTAGACATTAATCCTGATGCTAGATTCGTATTATCTAGGAGTAATTTCTTATTTAATTTATCATCGTTTAGACATTAATCCTGATGCTAGATTCGTATTATCTAGGAGTAATTTCTTATTTAATTTATGATTGTTTAGAGAAATTCAACATAACATATTCTAAGTAGTCTTGTTTTCTTTTAAGAATTATGTAGAATTTGCTCACCCTACACGTAGCTTCCAACAAAGATTGTTTGTGTGTCTAGTTTTGTGTTAGTAAGCACAGAGCTTGACAGAATTAGCTGAAGTAGTGGGCCAAAGGTTATTGCTGGTCAAAGTTGAAGCGTTTGAGTGGACTTATGTAACTTGTCTCTTTTTTTGACAATGGACTAGTAATTAGGCCTTTACGAGATTTGGAAGATGGGAAGTAGCCAAAACACTACTGCTAACATGAATGAGGATGTGGTTAAGACCTGCTAGAAACACGTAGACCCAATCTTCAACAATAGGCTTCCTTTGTTTCTCACAGCATGTGTCATGTCGTTAGGCCTCTGACAATTTAGTTCCATTAATATGGAGTTCAGTTGTAGTATTCAGCAAGAGGCCAACCACCCTAACTCGATCGGAATGATTCCTTTATACTTCCATTAAAAGAGTCACAAAAATCTAGATATCTCCTTTATATCTTCTCCAAAACTTCCTAAGTCATTCCACAGTATACAAAATGCAACATCAAATGGAATTCATGAGCGAAGAGATGACTAAAGCATTTTCAACCTCCCATTCTTTATACTATGGATCATCATTAGCAGATGCAGCATTTCATCACATGATATAACTCTTTTTCTTCCGACCCACAATATGGATCTCCAAAATCGTGGACAAAATCCAATAATTAGCACCATCTAATTTACTGAAATTGGAGAGGAAGTGTCATGAACAGTCACAAGAGAGACAACCTTGATGTTAGAAGACTTCGTACTAGTTATGTCAATCATCTTGGCTAGGCATGGGCACAGTTCGGTTTGGGTCGGTTTCGACTCCAACCTGAAACCAAAACCAAATTAGTTAATTTAGGTGAATTTCAACACAAATCAACCCACTCTAGTTCTTAAATCGAATCGAACCAAATCGGTTAGGTTTGGTTAGTCGGTTTGGACTTTTAGTCCAAATTGATTTTTTTTAAAAAAAATTGTCCTAGTTTTGGGCCCACTTAGTTCCATTAATATGGAATTCAGTTGTAGGATTCAGTAAGAGGCCAACCACCTTAACTCGATCGGAATGATTCCTTTATACTTCCATTAAAGAGTCATAAACATCGAGATATCTCCTTTTTATCTTATCCAAAAGTTCCTAAGCCATTCCACATTATACAAAATGCAACATCAAATGGAATTTATGAGCGAAGAGATGACTAAAGCATCTTCAACCTCCCATTCTTCATACTGCGGTTCATCATTAGCAGATGCATCTTTTCATCACATGATGTAACCCTTTTTCTTCCAACCCACAATATGCATCTCGTACTAGTTGTGTCAGTCATCTTGGCTAGGTATGAGCACGGTTTGGTTTGAGTCGGTTTCGACTACAACCTGAAACCAAAACCAAATTAGTCAATTTAGGTGAATTTCAACACAAACTAACTCGCTCTAGTTCTTAAATCGAACCGAACCAAATTAGTTGGATTCGGTTGGTCGGTTTGGACTTTTAGTCCAAATTGATTTTTTCTTTAAAAAATTGTCCTAGTTTTGGGCTGACTTAGTTTACAAAGACTAAAATAACTAAATAACTTCATATTACAAGAATTATTGAATAACAAATAAAATCGGGTTAATAGAGACGGATGAACAGAAAATGTAAGAATTTTGTTGCTCTTTTATCTATTATGTAGCCTGACAACTTGAAATAGGGAAAAAATGCTAAGTATAACATAATAAGCTTCTGATAAGAAATTTTCAGTACTATTACTTATCGGCAACATCGTAAATGGAAGGGAATTGAGATAGAGTTATGAGATTAGGGTTTATCTTTTGATTTTTTTATTTTTTTTAAAATGGTATGTAAGTGTGTTGGGTTGGTTGGTTAACCAGTGGTTTGAGTGGTTTGAGATTTCAAACAATGACTGAACCGACCCACCATGGTTTTGTTTAAAAGAAAATCAAATCAAACCAATAACTTGTGTCAAACTGATCCGAACCAGTTCGAGTTGGTTCGGTTTGATTGGTTTTGTCGGATTTTTGATTTTTTTTTCCCAGCCCTAATCTTGGCAACTAAGGTTTACTTTTTAGTAATTACAAAAATAGGATACTCACAACCACCAAGCTAGGATTTTTGCATCCACAGAGAGGAAATGTGACCAAGCAGTAAGAGGAGATCTGACCAAGAAAGGGTCACAAACAAGTTGAAGAGGTTCAAGGCCAACCACACGAGTCGCCCATGCAAAGGGCTCGCCTAAGGGGTTTGACTGCTCGAAATAGTTGAAGAGGTTCAGGTTAATTACATGAAGGTTAGCCTCGATGCAATTTGAGTAAGCCTCACGGTAAAAAATAATCTTCTCATTTTTTAAGAATGTTGTTAAAATAATCTTCAGCTTTTAAAAGTTTTAATTGCATACACATTAGTTTCCTCCCATGCACTTAAAGAAGCATATGGAGGCATTAATGAAAAGTAAAAGCTGAAGACATAAGAAGAAAGAAAGAGAAGAAAAAAGAACCAAATGTCAGAAAATTTGATATCGGAGCTGCTGGTGGTGCTATAGGTACCACCAGCCAATGGAGTTGTTGAAGGAGCAGCTGTTATTTGCTTTTACTATATCATGGGATTTGGTGGTTGATGAGGCTTGGGCATTGAGTTGTCTGCCACCCGAAAAATGCAATTAAAGTAGCACCTCAAGGCAGAATCTTGCATGTCAAATCTAGGTGCGCCTTGAGTCACAATTCAGTACTGCCTTTTCAAACCATGCCTTAACCTAGTGATAGAATTCCCTTCCTATCTAGAACTGACATTCTCGGTAGCCCATATTCCTAGTTCTTAGATCCAGTTTTCGGCTGGAAGTGGTGTCTGCTTTGAAATCTTTGTTAAGCATATTTGGTAGAACTTGTCACTGTGAACTATGTTGCTTTTTAATTTATGTTTCTTCTAAATCACCAGCTTCTCTCAAGTACTCGTGCAGTCATTGTTTACTGCGTTGCTTTCTTGAATTGATCATGCTAGTAAACTGACTGTGCATGTGTGTGTTCATACAGTTTCAGAACCCAAATTGGTAGAAGCAGCACTTGCTCATCTCTCTGCTCCAGGTCAGGGAATTTTTCGTAGCTAGACTCCTTGAGAAATGACACGAAGATTTTCGAGGGTTCGGTCCTTTGTTTGCAAATGGTTGGGGAATCCATAAAGGTGGCCATTTATTATTATTATCGTCGTCGTCGTCGTTGTCATCTTATTCAATAACTATTTTTAGCGTCATTATATATATATTTTTATTGTTACTGGGGAAGCTAGCTTATTGCTGAAATCATGGTAGCTAGAGGGATATAAGGTGCAACTACTTTTCTATGTCCATTAAACTTTGCATCTACGCGTGGTTAATCTGTTGAACATAATTGTACTTTTTCATGATTGCTGATTCTTAAAGTTGCCATCATAGTTTTCTAATTCCTGTACTATCACGCCTTGAATCTTCAACCATTAGAATTCAGTGCACAAACTGTATTTCCCAAACTCCTTTCCTTTGTTACCCTAACTTATCCCATAGTAGTTAGTACCTTGAAAGATGTGTATCTTCTACATCTTTAACTCTTGCTCTTCATCATTTGGCATGTTAATGTCACGTCACTTTGATATTTAGGGGAGACACGCAGATACCACAGATCAAACAGCCTAAATCTTACAACTATATTAAACTGGTAATGAACAGAACCACACAACGGGAAAGATGTGGGGACTCATGGATCCAGTTGGATTTTCTGTGTCACAAGTTACTTAAAGCCAATGCTAAGAATAAAATCATATGTTCTGTATGAAATCGAAACATGTTTGACATGTGCAATCTTCAAACTAACACATGTTACAACCTGAGAAAACACATAATGCTGCCCACGCATTTTGCAGATCTTGGTTGGTCTACTCACCATTTGGTATTCTAGTTCCTCATCAATGTTGCAGGTCAATCTGAAATGGGAAAAAAACATGAGAAGGAAAAGTTATAGTTTCATGTGTATTTTTCATGATTACTTCTGNTCTTGTGATGTCGTACACTGAATCCTCAACTACTACAATACAGTGCATGAATTATATTTTTCGAATGTCTTCCCTTTCTCTTAGGATTCTACCTAACCCTGTAGTATCAATAAAGTACCTTGAAAAGGTCCGTTCTTGTACGTTTTGATGCTCGATCTTTATCATGTGGCATCGTAAAGAGTGGAACACTTTGGCGAGACACACAACTAACATAGCTTAAAACAATATCAATCTTATTACTAAATTAGTGGGTTACTACACGATTAACAAAATGCATACACTGAGAAAGTTGTGGAACTTAAGAAATTGTTTGAGTTGGATTTGGTCTGGTCAAGATGTTTATTGGGAAAAAATAATGAATGACACAAAAGTTAGAGATACTGAGACAAACAAACACTAACAAACACTAAGGTACTGGCAAATTTATCTTTTCTTGAATATTTTATAACAACACACTTGCACTAAGCAAGTTTTAGTACGTCGGAAGTGGCTCGAGTTGGATTTGGTCCAGTCAAGATGTTTATTGGAAAAAATAATGAACGATACAAAAGTTAGGATACTGAGACAGACAAACATCGAGATGCAGTTATATTTATTTTTTCTTGGATATTTTATAACAAAACACTTGCATTGAGAAAGTTGTGGTACTTAAGAAATGGCTCGAGTTGGATTTGGTTCAATCAAGATGGTTTATTGGGGAAAAATAATGAACGACACAAAAGCTAGAGATACTGAGACAAACATCGAGGCATACGAAAAAAATTATCCTTTCTTGGATATTTTAAAAGCCATCAAATGGAGTCCTGTATCTCCAAGCAAACACACTAAAGAATTTCTACTTTTTCAACTATAATAAGACTGTCATGCAATCATTTGTACAATTTCCATCAATTTCTCTGCCTTAAACCCTCTCCACAATGATTTAAACCCAATACATAGAATATATAAGTTCAAATTTCCACAGCCAGTAAATTATTATCTTCTTTTTAGAACAAATATTGAGTCTTTGAATAAAGGCAGGTTACAGATAGGAGCTTTGAGGGAGAGTGTGTCATTCTTGGGAGTCAAGGAGGGGTAAAAATGGGACTCTATAGAGGACGGGAAGGGTGGCTACGGTGAGATTCGAAAAATGCTTTAACGGTATTGGTGTAGGAGGAGGTGGCGGCAGCAGTTGTGGGAAGGTTAAAAGTGAAATTGCGCGAGTTTTGGGGAATCATGCTTTGGCAATTCTCTTGACATATCTCTTTATGATTGGGCAAGTGGGTTGGCTTCTCGATGCTATTGTGGCCCTCTGGGTATTGCTCTCTCTTTTTCTTATCTCAGATATGTATTCTTTTCTTGTATCAGATGTGTGGCTCAGTGTGATTTTTCCTTCCACGTATCCAAGTGCAAAGTATACTGGCTTTATATTCTATCATGGATATGGTTTCACCTTACAATCAAAACTATAATTTTTGTTATCATTTCGTTGTATACATGGAATGTTATATTCTTGACCGGATTGGATACCAACATTCTCTGCCCTTCTATCCCTTGGGTGGATAGAGATGCAATGTAGAGCTTTTGAATTTTTCGCGATGTTAAAGGAGCTGAAAGTAGAGGCCGTCGTGAATTGTGATTCTGCCTCAGATTTTGAGAAGTTGTGTTTGATTTTGTAAAACTTTTTTTAAGAGCTATTTTTGAAAAATAAGAATGGAAAAAAAAACACAAAAGCATTTGGCATGCTAATCACCGTTGCAAATCATTCTATCTTGATTTTCTTGGTGCAAATGCAAAATGGTATGCCAATCATTCATCAGCACGAAGTATTTTAATAGCTGCAATTAAGCTAATTATAGTCGTGACGTATCTCCATGATATGACGTTTTATCCTTTGTGTTTTTCAATGGATTCTAGCCTTTCGGTTAATTTTACAACGTTGTACACCAAGTAGGTCGTCCGTGTATCACTGCTGAGTGATAGCAGCTATCATACTGTCTATATCAATCTTGTTCAAGGCAGTGTAAGGATATTTAACTTCAGTCTTTATACTCATTTGAAACAGGATTTGATGCTCATACTGTAAACAAATTTAGTGATTTTATCACTTTTAAACCACTATCTATGAGGATTATATTAAGCGCCTGTTTGATATTGTTTAAAAAATGTATTTGTTGTTGGGGGGGGGGGGGGAATTTGTTTTGGTATAGTGAATTTTTGAAGAATGTATAGCTAAAATGTAAGAAAAAGTTGTAGGCTAACGTATGAAATATTTTATTGTGAGAACGTGTGGTTTAATGAGTTTGAGAAAAGAGAGTTTTTGGAGAATGGTAACAAACATAGGCTAAGAAACCCTTAGGATAACAATATTGAAATGTTATGAAATTCATAAAGTTTACTCGATCAAATAGTCCAAAGTTAGGGATTGCAAAAAAACTCATTAACCAAAGACATGAAAGATAAAATAAACAAGACTTCCCCGACCCGTTGCTATTTCTACCCAAAGTTAAGCTATTTCAATTTCATACAACTTTCTTTCAAATTGTTAGGACTGTCTACTCTTCGTGTTATAATGCATTAAGCAACTTATGTAATATTTGATCCTTTGCATATGTTGAAAAACTAGTGTCTCCTAAGACTGTTGTTAGTATACATCTCAAAAAAGAGCAAGGGCCAATTTGACATGACTTTTGAGACTAAAAAGCTACTTTTGAACTATTTGATTAATTTTAAAAGCGTTTAAAAAATGATGTTAACCTAATGTGACTTCCTTTAAAAGCTCATCTGGAAGAGAAAGTTCTTTCAAACACTAATTAAAGTAAGTTTATCAGAAAGCTCTTCTACAAGAAATAGAAGTGCTAAATCAAATTGTTCCTAATTCTGGTTGATTCAGATTGTTATTCTTTAATCAGATAAATTTTTTTGTTAGTGAATTCTTATATGAAGTGCATATGAGCAACCTTTACAGCATTACTGCTTTATTCTCGTACTTATATGTGATTTATTATTGTTGCTTCATGTACAAATAATTCACTGTGAATTCTCCTTTCAGCTGGTTAATTCCCAGTTTACTTGTTGCAGCTGTGTCCTTTTTGTAGTCAGCCATTCTCAGGTAAGAGATGTAGATTTAGGCCAACCATATCCGATTTGTATGTGCCTCGCATCGTTCTTTTACTTCTTGTAGTGGTAGGTGATGAGTTTGTAGCAGGTCAAGTTCTCCAATGAATCCACAATATTCGACCAAGCATTCAGTGACTTCTCTCCTTTTACAAAGAAAGATTTGCTTCAACTCTGTACATCAGATTGATTACAGAATGAGGTCACGAAATTTTTGCCTTAAAGTTTGGCAATAAAACCCAAAATTTATCAAGATTCTAACTTTCGTTGTCATCCAGGGAAGCATTCATCTGTTTTAAGTTATTGACGTTGAAGCAGAAATAAGAGATGCAGATTGAGTTTTTTAGTTGTTATGAACTAAACGAGGGTCAATTGCGCTCGTTCCAGTCAACACAAGGTGAGAGATGTAAAATTTTCAAAACGAGACGTCACATCTATGACTTGATAAATGTGTGCCGATGTATGGAAAGCGTTCATCCTACACGTGGATTTGACAAGTATTTTTGACAAATAATCGTGATCTTTAGATGAAGCAAATTCAACGGTTATTATCTCATGAATCTCAAATAGTTATAATTAACTCTCTCATGATCCTAATAAAATACATAGTGACTATTGAATTTGCTTAATCTAAAGGTCACGATTATTTATCAAAAATACTTGTCAAATCCATGTGTAGGAAGAACGCTCCTCCCGATGTATATCATTTCATCTCTTCAATTTACAATAGGAAATGGCAAGCAAGATATAAGTCCCTTTTATTTATGGAAATGCCAGGTTACTACTGGAATCTCAACATACAATTATAAAGAAAAATGAAGAAAAGGAGCTTCTAACACTTCCACCCTGATCCGAGGTTATCAACAACAAGTGACATCTCAAAGAGATCATAATCTGCATCCGATCTAGAATCTAAAGAGTGATACCCAAAGTAAACCACTTTATTCCAAAAGTGTCGAGACAGACCCAACCTAATGAGCGCCGTCAACTTTCTGCCAATACGGGAAAAGAAAATCACGATGATAACATGTTGAAAAAGAATAACGATCCATACGTCATTGAAAGAAAATTAAAACCCTTCAAAACAAACATAGAATGTTTGCCGGTTTGATGATCTAGACATGTCCAAACGTAGAATCAGTATTGGCAGCAATATAGTTATACCTCTTCTTTCTTCTCTTTCTTGCTAAAGAATTTGTAACCTCCGAAAAGGAGCAAGCCCCATCCAGAGAGAGAGACAATCACAAACTGCAAAAGAACACAGGCTCTAGTCAAGCAGACAATGACAGAATGACTTATCATTTGCACCCATTGTACATCTTAGTTCATGTTTTGGAAACATTATAGTTTTCTTAAAGTTTAATGGTTGATGTCAAACATTAATTTTAGTGACACATTTTATAGGATTTGTGACTATTTTTCATTTATCCACCACTTTCTATTACATTATTTCAGGGGTAAAGGAATTTGAACAATCCCCTGGACGCCTAGGGGATTGTTCACCCAGCATTGCTCTTATTTCAAGACATTTTATCAGGACAAGCAGTCTCATTTATGAAAAAACTCAAGAAAGGTGAGACTCATCCATAAAGCCCAATAAGCGGGATTTTTCATATAATTTAGCCGTCGTCCATTGAATTATAGAACTAAGAGTGATAAATTTTAGTTGATCTTGAATAGATTAAGACCATGCTACTGGTACACCGGGGTTAACTGACCCCTCGCAATAGGGGGGTCCACGATTTTTTTATTCTTCGTGGCCCCCCCTTTGTTTTGAGGGAATTCGCTAGCACTGAATGTTATAAATTTCTGATCGTACTACTTCTTGATGTCATGCAGTATTTCAGAGCTCTCCATTCATAATACACTTTCTCTTATTCAACATTCTATAATGAAATCTACTTTAACATCAGTCAAAATCATAATATTCCAAGGATAGGAGATCAAGGTTTTTTTTTTTTTTTATTCCAAGAAAATACCTCATATCACATCACTTGTAGATAACCACGACGGGCCTTCTTACATGCCTAAGGTAGCATGAGTTTTAGCCCCCGTTTGGACTCCCCTTTTTTTTTAAAAATTTTTAATGTGTGGAATAGTTTTTTTTTTCAGAATGTGTGGTTGAAAAAGAAGGAAAAATTTTCGATTTACGTGTAATATTATTTTATGGAAGACTGTGTGGTTGAAAATAAGAATGAGAAGAAAAAATTGAAAGAAAAAGAGGGTCAAATAGGGGCTTAATCTGTTCTTCACATTTATGTGTAGCTCCTTTTTAGCCCAACGTTTGAGAATATATTTTATAAAAAATAATTTTTTACGAATGTGTGATTAAAAAAAAAATATATGAAATTTACGTATAAAATTATCTTATTCGAAAAATGTGTGTAGTTCTAAATGAGTTCCACGAAAATAAATTTTAAAAATGAGGCTCCAACATGGACTTAGTATATTTTAGAATCTATCTTGTAGTTCGAATGTACCATCATTAATATTAATTTAGAGTTTTTTTCCATTCTTTTATAGGTTTAGGGGTTTTAATGACACGTTCAACATTAGAATTTTCCCGGACTAGACAGCCCGCCCATGGTCAATCACTACAACCTGATACTACACATGATCAAAATTCAATTAAAAGCATAAATTTATATTTCTAATTTAAGAGAAATAGATAAATATTTATCTTTTTACATCCTAATAAATCAGAACTAGCATTGTAATGTGACACATATCACACTATCCTTTCTATATCACGATGAACTTAATTAATGAGAGCTCCCACTTAGCATCAACGTATAGGACATTCATTTAGTGCATAGAATAAAACTTGAGATCTCGTATGTTTATATATATACATATATATGTAAGTAAATATCCACCATATTGATTGGATTCCTCATAATTCTTGGTTACAAGACATTTTTTTTGTAAACTCATTTCTTCAAATTTTTCTTTTACATATTTTCATTGAGATGTAGAAAACAAAATCGTGATGAGGAAGTTAACTTTGAAAGATATGAATGGTACCTATAAACTCTCTAATAAATGGAGTGCACTGCCTCCAGTTGTAGATCAAGTGACGAAAATATGTAAGAAAATGAGTATTACCTGTTGGAAGAATTTTGTGAATACTGACGTCAAAATAAGTATAATGATGGTTTTTAAATCCGTGCCGGAAATTGGACAGAGTAATGGCGAAGAAAACACAAACAACAAGAAGAAGAAAGTAGGGACAAAGCCGAGGCAAGAGTTGGACTCTTTGTCCTTAAGTCGAATTTGTCCCGCAATGGTGCCTACGGATTTCGGCAATCGAATCTCAAGATATAACGGCTACACTTGTGTTTGTAGCACTCCAAAACACAAGTACAACGAACCAAATTTAGGCTTATGTACTCCAAGGATGAAGGAAAATCAAAATAAATGAAATGATTTTGATTTTGGATAGAAGAGAGGATGAGAGATGTTTTGCATATCAAATTGTGAGGAATAAGACACCCAAAGGGTCCTATTTATAGACCATAAAAGGGTGTGGACGAAATTGTTGAGGCCAAATCATGCACCCTTTCCAAACAATGCACCTTTATGAAAAGGTGTCTATTCACCAGTCGCACGGTCAAATATTTTGACCTGATTTTTGTCCTTTTTCGTAATTTCTCATTCATCCGATATTGATTTTTCGAAATGCCAAATATACCCTTCAATACATGCAGAGAAATCAAAATTCTCTTTCGGGGGCGTTGCCCCCGAGCCCCCACAGGAGGCGCTGCCCCCTCGACAATTGATGAAGGATTCTTTGAAAAGTTAAGGATTAGTAATCTTTGAAAACACTGCCTCCGTTATCAGTAGAATTCAAGAATGAGTTTCTAAAGTGGCTGGAAAAAGAGAATTTTGCAGGAAAAGATGGTGGTACGAAAGTGATACAAATAAGAATGGGAGCCCAACTTCTAATTCCTGTCAATCAAACAAGGGAGGATTTTTTGAACGAGAATGAGAAGGCTCATCTCACCAAACGTTGTCCAAATGGCAAAATAAAGCACTATAACTGTTCGCGTAATCGAACCATTACTACAAGAAGGCATAATGATATTAAGGACGTGGACGATGAATAAAAGAACTGGGGATCATATCAAATCTTATGTGTTGACTAGAAATCGGTCCAAAATCATGGAAAATAGTAATCTCGAACATTAAAACGCACGGCAATTGTGGGCCATTCGAATTGGTTTTGAATTGTGCTTTGCTCTTTTTAGGCTCCCATAAAATTAGAAAGGGTTAAAAAATTAATAGTTGCAGTATTTTAGTTAAGATTTAACTATTTACTTGACAAGATTATTGGTTATTTTATTTTATTTTTTATAATCAATTATCATTATTATTTATTTATTTTTCTATTTACGATTTTGATCAGGTCACAGTAATTAAAGTTAAACGTTTCAACAGCACCGAACCTTACACCATCTCACGATTTACTCACTAAACTTCATGAATTGTCCCGTCCACTGAACTTAGCTCCATCCATCTTCATCACTCACATGATTCAAACTGTTAACGTACAATGCCTACGTGGACAACGAAAAAATAAGCTGGCTAGTTAAATCCTTCCAATTGTTATTGATGAGCCAAATCATAAGCAAAATCACATCTAAACAACACATTTTGCCAATTAAATACACGATTTTTTACCAATTTATTAGACGAACCAGTAAGAGTGAAAATCAATACAACTCGAAAACCCTTTGCAGCAATCAATTACCCCTAATTCATATCCCTAAATTGAACATGTAATCGTGAATTTCATTTTCCCCAAATCGAACCATTAAGCGTGAAATCTATTTTTCCCAAATTTAACTGTTCTACGTTGTGAGGGTGTGAACCCTAAACGAATATACTTGGTCGCTATAAACAAAAAAACCATCATTGTTGAACTTTCTGGAAGGCGTCCACATGGATGGTTCACCTTAAGGTATTTTCAAAACAAGTTCTTATGTGGCTTATTAAATAACCTGTACGGCTGTATTGTTTAAATTTTTTCATGTGAGTCCGAGTTTAAATTTGTATTATTATATCTGACTATGAACATTACACTCCTAATGAACCTTAATTGACTATGAACATTACACTGCTGAGTTATATATTTTTACGGCTTATTTTAGTTTTGTTGACTCCAATAAATGTTGTCAACAAATACCAGATCCACCCGCGCTCACGTAAGCGAAAGTCTAACACACAAAGACACGTGGACGGTCTAAAAGGGACAGATCAAGGGCGTGAGAATAGCTTAACGACGCGGGACGAGAACGTTCGAAATTCGACGAAATGATCGTAAACCGATTATACAATAATTACCAATCGATGTTTGCTAATGTGCATCTAAATATGTATGAACTCGTTTATATTGCAAGATAAATAGAAAGAGAGAGTGAGTTGAGTAAAATATGATTTCTTGTATTGATTCTTGCATTAGCCTTTGTATGGCGTACAGGAGGGAGTATTTATTGCGTCACTAGTTAGATCGTGACCTTTGGTTCGGGGTATACGTGGCCTCATCCGGTTGAGTTACATGTCAAATTGTAAGCATTAGCCGCACCTAGCCTATTATACATTTATTGATTGGCAGAGTCGTCTCTACCAGTGACAAGACTTAACATTTACACTCATGACAAACGTCCTATCAATCATTCAAGTAAGATCTTTGTGCAGAAGATCTCTTGGGAGAGGTGTCTATGGAAGATGTTGCTTTGTGCTTCGGAGGCTGTCACCTCGGCTACTGAGCTTTGGCAAATAGGACATCGTCCACCTTCAAAGGCCCTCGGCATATGGGCTTCGGAAGCTCTTCATGAGGCAATAATAAATAGGCCTCGGTATATATGGGCCTAGGCATTTGTGGGCCTCGATTTGTGGGCCTCAACTATGCAAATCACCTCGGATTGAGTGTCACGTGGTTCAGCATGAGTTGGCTGTGGGCCCCAGTGGGTTGCCCAAGTGTGCGAACACGTAACAATAGTCCCCCAAGTCCAAGTATAGTAATTTATGTAATGCGAGGACTTTGATGAAGTAAAGCCAGCCAATTAAGTTGAAAGAAATTTTTGAAATTTTTGTACCCCAAATAATAGTCCCCCAAGTCCAAGTATAGATATTTATATCATGGTTGGAGTTAGAGATTTGTCGTTGTTGTTTGAGGAGTGATGAGAATGATGAAGTCGAGGTGGTTAAGAAATCGTACCTGCGAGGCTAGCTAGTTGAGTGATGAAGAGGAAGCCGAGGTGGTTGAGAAAATTGAACCTGCGAGGCTTGCTGGCTGAGTGATGAAGAGGGAGCCGAGGTGGTTGAGAAAACCGAACCTGCAAGGCTTGCTGGCTGAGTGACGAAGAGAGAGTGATGAAGAGAGAGCTGAGGTGGTTGAGAAACCGAACCTACGAGGTTTGATGGCTGAATTATGATGAAGAAGGAGCCGAAGAGGTGGTTAAGAAAACTGAACCTGCGAGGCTTGCTGGCTGAGTGATGAAGAGGGAGTCGAGTTGGTTGAAAAATCGAACCTACGAGGCTTGATGGCTGAATTCTGAGGCACATTGACAATAATTGTTCCTCGGCAACTGTGTCAATGATTTGATGTTTTGTACATATTTTCGAGGAAAAGTAACAGAATCGTTACAACTTCCAAGGCGCCTGCTGTCGTCGAATTAAAATCATAATCATGAGAACAGTTGGAGCTTCTAGAAGCAGATGCGTTGGAGGAGGTGCGTGGGAGACACGCTTAAATCTGAGGCGTAGGTTTGAAAAATCATTTGAATTCTATGCCTCGAATTTGATTAAGAATGAAAGGTCCAGATTAGATGGGCTTTGATAAGATGGTTGGGGTTCTTCCTGGCCCTTTATAAAAGGCGAGAGACCCCCATTGTCTTAGATTTTCTACCCCTTGCAATCCAATTTTTCTTCCAAAGCTTAAGTTTTTCCGTGTTGAAGCTGTTTGTTCCCTGATTTTCCGATACCATTCCGTCGGCGTAGTTATTCTCGTATGTATTTTTACAGAAAATCACTTGTATTGCATTCTTAGTCGTTTTTTGAAATGGAGTCCACCTCGGATAGGGAGTTAGTCACTGTCGCGTCATTCGGTCAGGGGGCTAGTTACAGGGAGGCTCCGAGATTGAGCAGTATGCTATGATCGAGGAGGCAGTAGACTACAGTGTGGAGCGGGGGGCGTCTAGGGTCCCTTCGAATATAACAGGGAAGAGGTTGGGGGAGATTAGGGAAAGGTACTGTGTACCTCATTATGTAGAGATGTTAGTACCCGAGGCCCATGAGCGAGCCTGCTATCCGAGGCCTGGGTGCGTGGCGGTAAGCAAGTACCTGTTTAAGGCAGGTATGCATCTTCCTCTGTACCCCTTCTTCAGGGCGGTACTAAGGAACTTCATGTTGTCGCCAACTCAGGTTCTGCCAAATGGGTGGAGCTAGTTGGTTGGCTCGTACTTCCTATGGAAGGAACTGTCACTTGGGGAGGACATGCCTCTCCACGTCTTCATGACCCTATTCCAGCCTAGGGTAATAGGTAAGGAGTCAAGGATGTGGTATTACTTGACTCCTTGGGGGCTCATGCACCATTTGTGGTGGGGCTGCCTTCTTCCATTGAGGGGTGAAAGGAGTCGTGGTTCTGGGTAAGGGTGAGGGACGGGTGGTAGGCGGTGGAGGAAGACACAGCTCTGGCTTGCACAGTACCGACCCAGTACTACGAAGCTCGTGAGTCTCCCAACCTAAGTAGCTTGCATTCTGTATTCAAATTTCTTTTTTCTCTAACTGTTGAGGCTTCGTTTACAGATAGAAGTACGAGGTTCGAGTTGAGCAAGGAGAAGTTCGAAGTGATAGAGGACATTTACAAGAGATCTCTCAAGCTTCGCCACTTCGACCGAAGTCGCTACTTCCTTGATTTCGAACTGATGGCCTCTAAGGGTAAGAAGCTCCTATACTTAGTGTATTTCTTGCTTTTTGTTTTGATGCTGATGCGTTGACATGTTCTGTAGACAAGTTCAAGAGGAGGGAATATCTAGCCCCTGATATGGCCTCTATACTTAGGGCCACATCTACTGTGAAGGCGAGGCCCCTGAAGCAGGGGTCTAGTGGTGCCAAAGAGGTTCGGGGTAGGGTCGAGCACCTCTCTAAGGACGGTAGTTCAAGGGCTCCAGAAGAGGGGGCACCTCAGAGGCCGGAGAAGGCTAAGGAGCCTTGGGGGAAGACGAAGGTCCTCGATGAGCCAAAGAAAAGGAAGCTGGTGCACGTCACCAACTCATCAGGAAAGTTCGGGACCTCTGTGTCCCATGAAGGCAAAGAAGCTACTCAACCGAAGCTCCTTGCAGCCGCCTCAAAAGCGGTAAAGATTGAAATGGTTTGACGAGCCGAGGCTGATGAGGCTAAGGAAGAGGCTGCGAGGAGGGTAGCTGAGGCGACGAAGGAGGAGGCCGCCAAACAGAGGCCTGTGAGGGTGCAAGGGAAGTTTCTAAACTTCCTTGCCGGAAGGGAGGAGGTTCTGGCTCCAGCATTGGTGGAGGCTCTGCCACCTGAGATTCGAAGTGCTACAGAAAGCTTTTACAAATTCTGGATGGAACGGTGGCAGTTGCATGCCTCCTCATGTGACGCCACAGACTTGACAAGAGCCCTCGTGAGCCAAAGTGTGAGGACCTTTAGCCTCGCACTGGAGTGCGGGGAGGCCTTTACTGACTTTCAAACGAGGACCCAGTCCTCGAAGAAGAAGATGGCCTCTCTTACAGAGGAGCTGAAGAGGGTTAGAGCTGAAGCGGAGGAAGTGAGGGCCCAAAAACTTGAAGATGCGGCCAAGATGGAGTCTGCCTTGGCTTAGATCGAGGCGCTGAAGAAGGAAGTGTATAAGTCTCAGTGTGAGGTAGCCTCCTTGACTAAGAAAATGGAGGTTTCCAATGACGACCAGAAGGTGACTGCCGAAGCTTTGGAGAAGGCAAACATGGAGCTAGCAGGGGCCCAAGATGCGTACAAGTTCTTGGAGGACCAGATAAAGTGGTACGTTGATGATGCGACTAAGGCCAGGGAAGAGACCCATGAGACGAGGGAAGAGGCGGTGAAAGACTACATCGCCAACTTCCACAATACCGAGGAGTACAAGAGTTTCAGTACTTACTGGAGGAATTTTACTTATGTCGAGATGATGGAGAGGGCTGAGGAGCTTTACCTAAATCAAGACCTGTCACAGCTGAGGTCGGAGTTTGTAGATGAAGTGCCTCAAACCCTAGCTGATAAAGTAGTTGGAAATGAAGTAGCAGAGACAGAAGAAGGAAGTTCTAATGCTCAGACTGCGGAGGCCCCGGCTATTGAAGCACCTCCATCGTCGTCACAGGCTTAGGATAATTTTCTTTTCAATTATTTCTGATGTACTGGCCTCAGGCCCTCCTTTTGTAATCTTGATAAAAAAATCAATGCAATATCTTCTTTCATTCAATGTTTTTTTTTCCAAAGTGTATTGGTCTCGTCAAGCAATTAAACTTTATGTTGATTGAAGAACTAAATAACTTTAACTTGGTATCCTAACTCCAATCACTTGAGCAAATAAATTGAATGCAAGCCTCACGAGCCACGACCAATATTGGACTTAAGCAAATAAACTGTATTTAAGTTTAATAATTGTAACTTGAATGGATCCTGAATGGACCGTGTTTCAGCCGAACTGGGAATATTATCTGATTTGAAAGGTAGTTGCGTGAAGCTAGTAGTGGTTGAGCCTTGAGCGCCTCAGAATTCGAACGAGGTGGCCCAGAGATGGGAGGCTTGCCTTTCTTTCGAGGTGAGAACGCTTCCTAATATGGTGGATGGTTCAACCATGCTGAGACTTCCCTCAGTGGCGTTCAGTCTCGTCAAAGGGAGGCAAGTGCATGCGTCTCGAAGTTCAAACGAGGTAGCCCGAAGATGGGACGCTGACCTCTCCTCCGAGGTGACGACGCTTCCCAACATGGTGGATGGTTCAGCCATGCTGAGGCTTCTCTTAGTGGCGTTCAGCCTCGCCAAAGAGAAGCAAGTGCATACGCCTCGGAGTTCAAACGAGGTGGCCCAAAGATGGGACGTTGACCTCTCCTCCTAGATGACGACGTTTCACAATATGGTGGATGGTTCAACCATGCTGATACTTCTCCCAGTGACGTTCAGTCTCGCCAAAGGGAGGCAAGTGCGTGCGCCTCGGAGTTCAAACGAGGTGGCCTAAAGATGGGACGCTAACCTCTCCTCCAAGGCGACGACGCTTCCCGACATGGTGGATGATTCAGCCATGCCGAGGCTTCTCCCAGTGGCGTTCAGCCTTGCCAAATGGAGGTAAGTGCATGCGCCTCGGAGTTCAAACGAGGTGGCCCAAAGATGGGACATTGACCTTTCCTCTGAGATGACGACGCTTCCCAACATGGTGGATTGTTCAGTCATGCTGAGGCTTCTCCCAGCGGTGTTCAGCCTCACCAAAGGGAGGCAAGTGCATGCGCCTCGGAGTTCAAACGAGGTGGCTCAAAGATGGAACGCTGACCTCTCCTTCGAGGTGACGACACTTCCCAACATGGTGAATTGTTCAGTCATGCTGAGGCTTTTCCCAGCGGTGTTCAGCCTCGCCAAAGGGAGGCAAGTACGTGCGCTTCAAAGTTCAAACGAGGTGGCCCAAAGATGGGACGCTGACCTCTCCTCCGAGGTGACGACGTTTCCCAACATGGTGGATGGTTCAGCCATGCTGAAGCTTCTCCCAGTGGCATTCAACCTCGCCAAAGGGAGGCAAGTGCATGTGCATTGGAGTTCAAATGAGGTAGCCCAAAGATGGGACGCTGACCTCTCCTCCAAGGTGACGATGTAATGTGACACATGAATTCAATCATGGATAATTTTATTGAATCATGAAAATGTTACATAAGTTGGGAAAGATCGTCCAGTAAGGTAGTACATTCATTGATAATAGATTCAGAGGTGCTCAATGTTCCATAGACGAGGTTGTGCTTGCCGTTCATGTCGGTAATCCAGTAGGTCTCGAGTCGGATCTCCTCTTTGATTTCATATGGACCTTCCCAGTTCGGGCCCTGGGAATTGGTGCCAGGTTCCTTCGAGAAGAGAAAGACTCATCTAAGGACCAAGTCGTTGATTCGAAATTACCTCTTCTTTACCTTTGAGTTGAAGTACTTCGTCATCTTTCTTTGATATGTGCCGAGCTTCAGCTGGGCGTCATCTCTCTTTTCCTTAATGAAGTTGAGGTCGCACCTGCGAAGCTCGTCATTTGTTATCTTACTGAAATGCAGACATCGTGGAGATGGAAGTTCGACCTCGATGGGGCTCATCGCCTCAGTCCCATATGCCATGAGGAAAGGTGTTTCCCTCGTTGGGGTCCTCGCAGTGGTTCAGATTGCCCGAAGAACCTGTGGTAGCTCATCCACCTAGGCCCCTTTTGATACATCAAGCTTCCTTTTCAGAACGTGTTTGATGGTCTTGTTCACAGCCTCAACCTGGCCATTTGCTTGTGGGTGGTGAGACATGGAGAAGTTTTTCTTGATGCCAAGTTCTTCACACAAGCTTTTGACCTTCTTGTTGTCGAATTATCTACCATTGTCTGAGACGATCGAGTAGGAAATCCCGAATCGGCATATAATATTCTTCCACAAGAACTTGGAAGTGTTAGCTTTTGTAATTTTTGCCAGGGGTTCAGCTTCAACCCACTTCGTGAAGTAATCAATGACCATAATTGCGAAGCTCGCACCTCCTTTACCTTTTGGTAGAGGACCTATGAGGTCCATACCCCACTTCGAGAAAGGCCAAGGGTTGGAGCCGCGGTTAAATCTTGCGATGGTTGTCTTTGGACAGAAAAAAATCGTTGGCATTTGTCACATTTTCGTACAAACTCGAGGGCGTCCCTTTTCAAGGTAGGCCAGTAGTACCCCCGCCTCAGTATTTTTTGTGCCAAAGACAGACCTCCAGAGTAGTTGCCGCACACACCCTCATGGACTTCTCTTAAGATGTAGGTAGCTTCTTCTTCTCCGACGCATCGTAAGAGTGGAGAGGAGAAGCTCTTCTTATAGAGTACATCATCAATGAAGAGGAAATGGGCTGATCTCCTTCTTAGCTTGTAGGCCTCATGCTTGTCAGAGGGAAGTACCTGGTCCTTGAGGTATGCCACGATGGGCTGCATCCAGGTAGGAGTCCCAGTGACCCACATTACATTAGGGGCCTCGGTTGACGGCATGAGGAGGTGTTCTATAGGGACTACTGTAAGTAGTTCGAAATCCTTGCTTCTTGCAAGTTTGGAGAGTGCATCCGCATGTGTGTTTTCGATGCGGGAGATCTCAATCAACTCAAACTTTTCAAAGGATGGGATGAGGTTCATCACCATTTTCAAGTAGGAGTCCATTGTTTTGTCCCTGACTGAGAAGTTACCGTTGACCTGGCTAACAACCAGCTGGGAGTCACTACTGATGAGTAGCCTCTTTACTTGCAATTCTTTGGCTAGCCTGAGGCCTGCGAGAAGTGTCTCGTATTCTGCTATATTGTTGGTGGCCTTGAACCCGAACCTCACCGTCGAGTTTAGCTTGTGACCTTTCGGGTTGATGAGGATAACTTCGGCACCAAAGCCGGCGTCCCTAGCCGACCCATCAACGAATAGGTTCCACGTAGGAAGCTCGGCTTGTTCCATGATTTCATCTACCTCGGGTAAGTTGGCGAATTCTGCCACGAAGTTCGCTAAGGCTTGGCCCTTGATGGCTGCCCTAGCCTTAAACATGAGGTCAAATTCACTTAGTTTCACCGCCCATTTCAATAATCTCCCTCAGGCATCGGGCTTTTGGAGTACCTGTCTTAGGGGAAAGTTTGTCAGCACATGGATGGTGTGGGCTTGGAAGTAGGGCCTCAACTTCCTAGAGATCGTGATCAAGGCCAAAGCGAGCTTCTCCATATCGAGGTAGCGTGTTTTCGACGATAGGAGTGCTTTACTTGTGTAGTAAATGGGGAGTTGGGTGGTTCCCTCTTCTCGGATTAGAACCGCACTGATGGTCTCATTGGAGACGGCTAGATACAACTGTAGGATTTTGCTGAGCTTCAGTTTGGAGAGGGGGGCCTGCCCTAGATGCCTGTTCAGGCTCTGGAAGGCCTCTACACATTCTTCATTCCATTGGAACTTCTTCCCAGCCTTTAACACTTTGAAAAATAGGAAGCATTTGTCCGTAGCTTTGGAGAAAAAAATGGCTAAGCGCGGCTACTCGTCCAGTCAAGTTTTGTACTAACTTTGACTTTTGGGGAGGCCTCATCTTGAATAGGGCTTCAATCTTCTCAGGGTTGGCTTCCATACCACGTCAGTTGACCATGTATCCTAAGAATTTGCCAGAGGCCACTCCGAATGCGCACTTGAGAGGATTGAGCCTCATCCTATATCTTCTCAAGATTCGGAAGGTGCTGCTGAGGTACGTTATGTGTTCCCCAGCTTCCAAACTCTTTACCAGCATGTCGTCTACGTAAACTTCCATTGTCTTGCCGATGAGGTCCACAAACATTTTGTTGACGAGCCTTTGATATGTTGCTCTGGCATTTTTCAACCTGAATGGCATCATCTTGTAGTAGTAAAGGCCTCGATCTGTGATGAAAGATGTGTGTTCCTCATCAGCCGGGTACATGGGGATTTGATTGTAGCTGGAGTATGCGTCCATGAAGCTCAATAACTCGTGCCCAACCGTGAAGTCTACCAGTTAGTTAATCCTTGGAAGTGGAAAGCTGTCCTTCGGGCAAGCTCTGTTGAGGTTAGTGAAATCAATGCACACCCTCCACTTGTCGTTGTGTTTCTTCACCAAAACTGGATTGGAGACCCACCTCGGATAGGTGGCCTCTCTGATGAAGCCATTTTGAATGAGCTTCTGAACTTCTTCCTTCAGGGCTTCGCAGGATTGAGGGCTCTCCTTTTTGTCTATGCGGGGTAACCTTAGGATCAATTTTCAGGTGGTGGTAACTCACCTTGGGCTTTATGCCTACCATATTCTCATGCCTCCAAGCAAAGATATCGAGGTTCCTACTTAGGAAATCCTTGAGCTTTTCTTTCTCAGTACTAGACAAGCCCTTGCCCACCTTCAACAATTTGGATGGGTCTCGTGGGTCCACCGAGAGACTCTCAAGTTCCTCAATAGGAGATGCTTGAGGTTCGTGTTCAATTATACGGGGATCAATCTCATCGATGACCAATCCCTCCGGATTGGGTGGTGCGTCAATCATTTCGATATCTTTCGGTTCGGCGGGAGCATCATCTGAGACATCGGTCATGACTACGTTGGCAATAATTACATGGACGTTCTGGGGCTCTACCTTTTTGATGGAGCTTAGATAACATTCTCTTGAGCCTCTCTGGTCACCTCTCATCGTTGCCACCCCATTTTCAGTAAGAAATTTCATGCATAGGCGGTGGATGGAAGTGACGGCACCTAATTCTTTTAGGGCTAGCCTACCAATACTCCGTGGTAGGCCGATCGACTGTCGACAACAAGGAATTCCATGAAGTTCATTGTGGTTTGGGGAGACTCCCCCATCTCTACTGTGAGTGTGATTTTTCTCGGAGTGATGCTATTTCCGGTAAATCAGTACAAAGGAGTGGTGGTGGATGTTAACTCATGGCCCAGTATTATCTTGTCAAAGGTGGATCCGAATAAAATGTTGATAGAGCTACCATTGTTAACTAACATTTGTTTGAGCCCATTCCGGGCTATGACTGCTCTTACCATAGGTGCATCGCAGTGGGGATAGTAAACCCCTTCAGTGTCCTCCTGGGCGAAGACAATACGTGGAACTTGATCCCTCCGAAAGTTGTTGCCCACAATATAGCTGGTAAGCGGGGGGCACTTGGCCTCACGGGCATAATTTCTTTTGGCATTCCTTGTTTCACCGCCTACATAAAGACCTCCAAAAATGGTATCCACCTCGTGGATAGAGGCCTCATCCTGAGTTTGTCGATTTCTTCGATGTCTGCGCCCTTCCCTGGGCCTTTCTGCATTACGCTCCCTTCATCGCGGAGAGACATCCCTTTCATGTGGAGCGACTTCTTCATGCCCAGGTCGGTTATCGTACTTAGCGAGGGCTTGTTTGCATGGGGCGATTCATTTCTGTCCCTAGGGAGTTTCTGTGGGGAGTAGTGAGCGTAGTCTCGACAATCTGCTGTGTCGTGTCCATAGGACCGGTGGTATACACAGTATCCAGGCGGGTTTTGATTCGACCTATTTCTAGGTCCTGAACCCCGGCCTCGACCTCTACCCCTACGGGGTCCTTGCGGAGTTCCCATCTGCTGGGTGTTGGTGGTTGGATTGATATCCTCATACGCCAATGTTAAGAGTAGTGGTGGCCAGTGCTTGCCCAGAACTCTCATTACCAGCTTGGTTCATTTGGTAGTCCATCAAGTGGGAGGTCGGACCTCTAACATGCTACTTTTGAGGAGGTGGGAGGCCTCTATTTGCCCTGTTCCTATGTTCAATCAATTCTTCGTTGATGATTTTCCATCTCATCATCTCGAGTAGGGCATCATAGGTGGTGGGATCTTGATTTTGCACGTCCCTCCAGAACAGGGTGTTCATGTTCAGACCTCCTCTCAACACAGATAACGCCTCACGATAGGTGACTTGCACACAATATGTCATCTCATCGGTGAAACTTGATAGGAAGCTCTTTAGAGACTCCCCGTGTGCCTATCTCATGTCTCGGAGACGTTGGATGGGGGCATCTCTCTCTTTGCTCACAGCAAACCTCTTCAAGAAAGTCGTCTTGAATTCGGACCAACTTCTTATGCTCCCAGGTGGTAACCTACTTTACCAAATTCAGCTGCTCCACTAAGTGTTAAGTGGAAAGCTTTGCATTTCACAGCTGGGGTGGCATCCCTTAGGCTCATGTGAGTTTTGAAAGCATTCAGGTACGTCTCTGGGTTGCCTCTTCCATCATACTTTGGGGTATTTGGCATAACATAGTAGTTCGGGACCTGGGCACTCTTTAGTTCCCTTAAGAATGGCAAGTTTTCATCATCATCTTCCAAGTCAGAGGACCTCTGCTGCTCATCTGAATCGTTTTCTTCAACCTCATACCTCGGTTGTTGGTGAGAGAGTTTAGGACGGTTCCTAGCCTCTTCCTCCTTCCTTTGGCACCTATTTCTAGGCGGAGCAACACGGGGGGCTTTTCATGCCTTTCCTCCGACTGTTGAGGCATTGGAAGTGGAAGCGGTGGCCTTGTCCAAGCCTCGTGATGCTATTGTTGTCTGAGTCTCGATTCAGTGGGGCTAATTCTGTGAAATACACTGCCTGACCTCCAACGTCTTTGCTCTTGCTCATATGGAGGTAAGAAGTTATCATGGTTCAGAGGGACCTTGGTGGGTCGGCCAGAAGCGTAGTTGATGGAAACGTCAATTTCTACTTTCCTTTCAAATGGACTTTCACTTGGCTATAGTCCGGCGAGGTAGCCCTACAACTTTGAACTTCATCTTCTTACTGGTAGTGCCTTTGAGGGGCGTATGGAGAAAAAGGAAGCCTCCTTGGCCCTGCATTTGGGCCATAAGTTCTCTCATAGCCACGTTTTGGCTAGCAATGTATCTCATATTAGCTGTCATGGCGGCCATTTCTCTCAACAGCCGGGCCGTCGCACGCATTCCACCTCTTCTGTGGTTGTGGTGAGGTCTATGTCAAGTTGCTGGGGCAGTTGCTTGAGGGGGCACATTAGCATTTTCTCTTACCCTCCTGGGGGTGTATTTTCGTTTGAACTCATTTTCCTTGTATCTTACCCTTCAGATTTTTGCTAAGTTGGGGGACTTCCTCTTGTTCTTTTTTATGAACAAATCTGTTTTCAAGGGGGATGCCCGAATGTTCCTCTTTGATAAGTTTTCACCACAAAGTTGTTCGTGGTTATAGTATGATTCCCACAGACAGTGTCAATCTGTTGACCCCAACAAATGTTGCCAACAGATACCAGACCTGCCCGCGCTCATGTAAGCGAAAGTCCAACATGCAAAGACACGTGGACGGTCTAAAAGTGACAGATTAAGGACGTGGGGGTAGCTCAATGACGCGGAACAAGAACGTTCAGCTTTCGACGAGATGATCGTAGACCGATTGTACAATAATTACCAATCGATATTAGCTAATGTGTATCTAAATATGTATGAACTTGTTTATGTTGCAAGATAAATAGAAAGAGAGAGTAAGTTGAGTAAAGTATGGTTTCTTGTATTGATTCTTGCATTAGCCTTTGTATGGGGTACATGGGGGAGTATTTATAGTGTCATTGGTTAGATCGTGACCTTTGGTTCGGGGTACACGTGGCCTCATCCGGTTGAGTTACATGTCAAATTGTAGGCATCAGCCGCACCTAGTCTGTTATACATTTATTGATTGGCAGAGTCGTCTCTACCAGTGACAAGACTTAACATTTACACTCATAACAAACGTCCTATCAATCTTCAAATAAGATCTTTGTGCAGAAGATCTCTTGAGAGAGGTGTCTATGGAAGATGTTGCTTTGTGTTTCGGAGGCTGTCACCTTGGCTACTGAGCTTCGGCAAATAGGGCCTCGTCCACCTTCAAAGGGCTTAGGCATATGGGCTTCGGAAGCTCTTCATGAGACAATAATAAATGGGCCTCGGTGTATATGGGCCTAGGCATTTGTGGACCTCTGTTTGTGGGCCTCGACTATACAAATCACCTCGGATTGAGTATCACGTGGTTCGGCATGAGTTGGTTGTGGGCCCCGGTGGGTTGCTCAAGTGTGTGAACACGTAACAAGTTTAATTCTAAAGAGAAAGATTGAGAAAAAGATGGATTTTGTTGCTGATGTGTGAATATTAATGCTTATCTTTGTGGGTTTTGCGTACATGGGAGTGTATGATACGTAATATATGTGGATTGTGTGTGTGTGTGTATGTGTGGATTCCTAGTTTGTGATTGTTGTTGAAATGGGATTGCATGGCAGTGGAGATCAAGTAATGGACAAAATGGAAGAGGTGAATGATATCGAGGTAGATGATTTGGAAATGCCATTGTCGGAGGAACTTAATTTAAGTATTCTAATTCTAGTTGTCTTGCCAATGGGATTGGTTTGAAGGCAATTTGGAACTAGTTGGATCACATCACAACATAGGCCAAGACAAAAAAGTAAGTACATGTCAATTTCCACTTTTTTACTTCTCCATGTTGATTGGAAAGTGTGACTAATAATTGAATGTGGTATGTGGAGAAGGGGAAAATCAGCTTCATCTCAACAAGCTAATACGGAAGTACAGTCTTTCCAATTCATGCTGACGCCAATGGTAGAACATGAATTGTGACCACGACATCTT